TTAAAAGGTAAAGCAGAAAATTTTGCCAGTTTACATCCACTACAATCAGAAATGTCACAAGTTTTTAAATTTTCTAAAGCTCCTGAGGATGCCAAAAATCTCAAACGAGAAGACGAAACATGACCTAGACGGAAATGCCATAAATAAAAACTAGAAGATGAAAGACTTAAACAAAAGGAAGACAAATCAACAGTAGTAGTAATAGCAGCAGTAGTAGCAACTGACACTTTTAACTCATCCAAAATATATAGTCCATTCTCCCTACGGCCTATCCCAATCAACTTCTGAGACTACAGATCCTGTACACAACAAAAAGAACCCGAAAACATGACTAAATAATCACCAGAATCACATATTTGACCAACAGACGCAAGATTCAATTTGAGTTTTGGAATAAGATAAACATTAGGGAGAGACAAGTGAGGTGTGACAACAGAACCAACACCTGCTAAGGGCATAGAAATGTCATCAGTAGTCATAACAGGAATGGAGGACAAAAGGGACACAGAGGTAAAAGATGAGGAATCTGGAGACATATGATGAGAAGCACCAGAATCCAAGACCCATTCAGAGTGTGACATACCTGAGCAACTATGAGGCAACTGACCTATGAAAGAAAAAGAAGCAGACATTGCTTGTGGTTACAAAGAGAGAAACTTTTGAAATTGCTCAGTCAAAGTACTGGGATCGGTAATAGAGCGTGGGGAAGTTACTACTGCAGTATTATGGTGTGATGGTTTATAACCCTGAGGTGGTTTATGAGCAATAGGTTATGACTGACTGTCAGACTTCCAAGCTTAATTCTGTTGTCTCAACTTAGGACACTAAGCCTTCCAATGACCTTTCTGCTTACAGAAACTGCACTTATTGAAGCCAACCCTTGTGTAAGGTTTCTTTTGATGATTAGAGAATGGCTTAGAAGGTACTGCTAGTACTGAAGGATTTAAAGCAAAAAGAATTCCTTTTTCAGAATAAGATTGAAGTCGTATTTCTTCAGCCAATAACTCACTCGCAATAGA